TCCCCTTTTATTGGGTGGAAAGGGAGAGAGGAAGGGGGAAGGAGGGGAAGGGGGAATTGGGAGGAGAGGAGTGAGGGGGGACCCTTAGAATATAAAGAAAATAAACTGAAATTTAAAAAAAGAGAAGAGCAAGAAAAAATAAATTAAGAAACTCACCAATGGATTAAGATATTAGAGTTATGAGACATGAATTTGAAAATGGCTTTGATTAATGTAATTGATAAGTTTGATAACAAGATGAAGAATTCTTTTAGAATAATGGAAGCTATATTTAAAAATCAAATTAAATTCTGAAATCAATACATATAGCTGAAGAATGAGCAATGTTTTGTCATTCAGCTACAGGCAAATGCTAAAAAAGTTTCATCAATGAGCTCAAATCATGAGAAGATAGCATTAGTCATAACAGCCTAAAAACAATAAATGAAGTTCAGGGCTGTTCAATAACATCATAGCATATTGTTGTGATAAGTAGCAGACCACAGAGACATACAACACGGACATGGAAAGATCCACAAGGAAAGTACATGAACCATGTGATCCCAGTTTTGTTGAGTTCAGAAACAGGTACAATTAATCTGACAGAAGCAAGAAGGGAGAAGGCCACATTCAGGTGAAGACAGCAGCATTTTCATGATATTTTTAATGCTCAAAGTTCTTGGAATGGTGGTTACAGAAATACAACAGTGTGTCCATATTTCTGTAACACCACAAAGGGCATATTGAGAATTTTGGCATGTTTCTATATGCATACAAAGTGTTGACAATATAATACCTATGCTTCAATAAAATAATTAAATAAAACATGCTTCAATATAATAATTATTGAGGTGAGGTAAGAACAAATTACTTTTACTTTATAGATGTATCTTTTATTAGCATTTTATTAAAATACCCCCAGCCATGAAATCAATCCTTCTTGTTAGTTTTGACTTGTGTTACGTGTCTGATGTACCTGAATTCTTGTTGGTTCAATTTCTGCAGAGAACCATCTGCCGTGTGGTCTAGCATTCACCCGACCACTGTGACCACTCCCTATCTTTAGTTGATTCCTTTGCCCGGAGAGGGTCACGAATACATAAATTCCCCTTGAGTCTCCGGCCACCTTCCGTGAGGCTCAAGGCTTCAGCTTTATGTGTGCTCCTAAGACACTCTTTCAGCTCAAAAAATACAGAGGCTCCTTTGGCCTGTTGTTTTCTCTTCTCCCACACCACAACCTGGTGAATTTATACTTTTACAAAATATTTCTGGATCATAATTTTGATGGGAACCTAAAGAAGGACCAGAGATTAAAACATATTTAATTAACTTGCAGTGTGTGATTCAGGTTTTTAAATATTTATATTAATCAGGTTGCGATTAAATTCACATAATATGATTTTCTGCACATGTACCATCTTGGTGGAAGGTTTTTGTTTTTTACAGTATCTTCAACGGTAGCCTATAAGTGATAGATATACAGGTGTGCTCATCTGCCTGTGATCTCTCTGGGGAGCTGTCAATATGCACTGCTATTTTATTACCAACTGAAATGTACAGGCACACTGCCCTGTGAATGACCCACATCCAGGTAGAACACAGCCTGAAGTCCACAGACAAACTTCTAAGAAATCACCTTTGACATCGTATGTGCAGCTCTGCTTCCAGCTCTAGAAGAATTGATTTTTAATAATAGAACCCCAGGTGAAACTAAAAGGAAAGCAAATTATTATTCTTTCGCTATTTTTGGTTGTTTTTAACAATTCTAACACGATTTTATGCTAGCACTTAAGTACGAGACAGCTAAGTAATCTTCAGATTATATTAATCCAATGAAGAACAACATAAATAGTCTAGTCCTTATACAAGGTGAGGAAAAACTCAACTTTCTTTCCATGCCTAACACATTAAATAGAAAATTATTATTGCTGTCAAATCACTACATGAAGTTCATGCTGAGTAAGAAGACAGTGTGAATGCTATGGAGCTCACTGCCATTTGCATATTAGTTCAGTGGCTTTCCCATACAATGAGTCCTGCTTTGCAAAACAAACATCTTACATGTGCTTTTACCAGCCACAGATCAGACAATCATGATAACATGCTTCACTCAATAGAGAGGAGCATGAAGAAGAACTATCTTTGGGGTAAGTGTGGCAGGAAAGTGGATAGGTGCTGCTGTAGTAAAAGTCTAGAAGCTGGAGTCCAGAACTGTGGTATGGCATGGGGAGGGAGTCTACACTGCTGTAGTAGCTATGTGGGGAGGGGTGCCATCTACAGCAACGCTGTGGTGGGAGCAAGCTGGACTTATTCACTGCTAGAGGATGCAAGCCTGCTTTTTTTGGATATCCTTGATATACCTAGTATATACTGGCTAATTTCCTCTAAAAATTCCTCTACTGAGATGGGAGGAAGCAGGATGCCATGATGGGTTAGTATAGAGAAGGAACCATGTGGACTGGAAGGATCCAATAATGGCATGGAAAGGCCCAGATGAAGAATACAAGCAAGTATTTATAAATTATGGATGCAAGGTAGCCCAGATAAGGATGGTTAAGGCAGACGGCATTGAATGGGGGCTGGGAGGCACATGGTAAGGTTATTGAGATAGCGTAGGTAAAAGTATCTGCCCAGCCCAAGGTAAATAAGGCAATTATAAAATCTTGAAAACAAATTCCTCTACCTTTTCAGTCACCTAAAGAGAATTCTGTTTGCAACTAAATCCCAACTCAGGTGAAAAGTACTATCATAAACAACAAAGAAACAAACATGAAACACAGACATGTTTTTGTTATATTAAACTATAGTAAAGTCATTTGATCCAGAACAAATCAATATGATTATGAGCAAAATTACTTTAGTAGAACAAATAGAACTACTAAAATGCACACATGCTACTGCAAAGGTGTGGAAAATTTTTAAAATACAGCAGAGATTTTCCAATTTCCTGAAATTAGATCAACATATGCCTGTCATCTGAATTTCACTGGTGTCTGCTACAATTTCTTACTTCTCATCTCTATTTTTATTGATTTGTATCTTTCTCTTTGAATATATTGTCTAAGGAATGTCAATTTGTTGAGCATTTTGTAGAGCCAAATCTTTGGTTCATTTGGATCTCTGTATTGTTCATTCTATTTCCTTTTCATTAAAATTGTCAGATTTGAATTATTTCTTTGCATTGATTTTGGGTTTGGCTTAATCCTGTTTCTCCAAGATCTTGATACGCACCATTAAAATGTGCATTTGAGGTTTTGTTAAGATAGGCATTTGTACTTACACACTCCCCTGAGAAACACTTCCATTATGCCCCACACACAATAACTTCAAACATTACCTTGGTAAAACCAAAATAAGGAAGGAAAAGATCTTTCCAAGATCTTTTAAAATGCCAAAGGTGGAAAGATCTCCCCAGGCTCATGGATCAGTATACTCAACATCGTAAAAATGGTTCCATCAGTGAAAGACAGCTACAGATTCCATGCAAACCCTATCAAAATTCAAATAATATTATATAGATACATATGGAATTCTCAAAGAACAGACAAACTAACATTAAAAAAAATCCAATGAAGCTGCCTCAGGGAGGCAGAGGCAGGCAGATCTCTGAGTTTGAGGCTAGCTGGTCTACAGAGAGAGTTCCCTACACAGAGAAACCCTGTCTCCGAAGAAAAAAGAAAGAAAAAAAAAGAAAAGAAAATAACGATATTTGTGATGTAGCTTCAGGAAGCAGCACAGATAAAAGGAGGTCTGTGGAGGAGGAAAGGTGCCTGGACTGTGTTCACTTGGCCCTCCCCCTCGCTGCTGCTGCTGCTGCTTCCTTTCCTGTGCTTGGAACCAGCATTTCCAGGCTCCTCACTGACTGAGGACCAGTGGCCCTGAGGAACCCTCCAGGTGTTCTTTTTCAGACTGGGACTGCTGAGATACCTACCACATGTGACTTGAGCAATTCCTGGATTGATGGCCACCTTGGACTATGCAACTCTAATGTATCAGTTGTCACAGAACTAGAAAAACATTTGTAAAGTTCACATGGACATACAAGGCACACTGAGTACCAAAGCACTCCTGAACAAAGGGAGCAACACTAGCGCTATCACAATGTCTGGTCGTAACTCCTGCCACACAGACATATTAACAGAGCCAGTATGGTGCTGGTACAAGTTATATATACAGAACAATGCAAGAGAAGAGAAGAGAGGATTCATAATTAGGGATCATACAATTTTAGCAAACTGTTTTTTGACAAAGATGCCCAAACTACAAAATAGAGAAAAGAGAACCTCTTCAAAAAACTTACAGAGAAACAGGATTATCCACACATGAAATAACAGAACGGGCCAAATGCTTACTATTTTAAACTGTTGAAAGTAAAAGTATCTTGAAATTAAAAACAAACAAACAGAGTGAAACTGGATCCCTGACCTCTATAAAAACTTAATAGAAAACTTCAATGTAATACTGAAAGCTGTTAGAGGAGAAAATTGGGAAAACAAAGCAAAGTACAGGCACCAGAAGGAATTTCCTAAAAAGGACCCAGTAGTCCAGGGAGCAAAGGGAAGTAGGATTACAAAAAATTTAAAAACTTAGGTACTGCAAAGCAAACAATGAGCTGAGGGAAGACACAGCCCATTGAACATGTAAGTATGTGACAGAGGATTAGTATCTAGAACATCAAAGGAAAACCCTACCCCAAATTCTAACAATTCATTTACTAAGTAAGCTGATGAAATTCTGGTTCTCAGCTGTCCGAGGAGGCCCCTACACAGAGCTCTGTCTCACCTCCTTCAGAGCGACCTTCACAGGGGACAGACACCACAGAAGCGCTGGCAAGATGTGTGGGAGGCACCCTGCAATACCACAGGTGGTAATACAGAAGAGCCCAGTCAATACGAAACTGTTCCCAATTTAAAGACCTTTAACGTTTGTAACTTAACTTTCATTCTAAATTAATATTTAAGTTACCTCTTACTTTACACCTCTCCTAAATAGGGGCCCACAGGCCTGAACAGGAAACATACCATCTTTATCGGCTGTTTCCTGAGGCTTTGATTTTAAAGTGAAGATCTTCCGTAGCTTACAGTTAGCGGAGACAATAATTCCATCCAGCGACTGGAAAACTGCTCCCTTGAATATCTCACTCGTGAAGGCGACCAGGTCAATGCACAGATTGCACCACTAAGATCAAGGAAAGTAGATGCAAGTTAGGACCCTCCGTGGCACGGAAGCAGAGACTAACAGGACGCAAAACCCTCCCGATGCTCCAGTGTACTCCTTTTGTTTTGACTTAAGTTTCCTTAAAAATGGCCTTGATTCTCCTCCACAAATCACCATGATCTGAACTAGACCTTGGTTACCTAAAGGTTGGACTCCCCAGAAAACAGTTATCTTGTCTGTGGGTACCATGCTGGTGGGACATTAAAGGCAGTTGCTTTTCATCACTTAAACCCTGAGCATTAGAGAGAAGAAGCCTGTTGTTTTTTTTTCAAGAGAATTAATTTGATTACAATCAGATGCTTTAGTTTTGACTTTTGAAATGTAGGGATTAAATTAGAAGCTTGGTTAAATGGTACCCAGTACTATCTACTTACAACTAATTACCTTATTGTACAGAATAGATTCTTCTAAAGAAGTTGTAATTACGCTGGGTGTGTGCCAATTTTGAAGTACTCTTGCAGGTACTAATTCCAGCCTATTAAACAATTAGATACCTTAGTACTTCATCAAAAGAATTCTAAGGCCTACCTAACAGAATAAAGAAAGAAGAAACATAACCATTAGTGAAAAAGACGTATTTGAGAATGTAGGATAAAAGCAGAAAAATAATTTTTAGAATTGAAACAAAAGTAGTATTAAAATTCCATTTGATTCTTTTAAATATTAGGGTCTTCTAATATTTTTAGAAGCAGTTTATAAATAAGACCTTTTCTAGGAAGGATGTTAATTTTAGTATGAAGGTGAGCCCAAGGCTGTTTTGGTAACAGATCAGTAAGAGATTGTACAGGTTTACTGATTTAACCAAAAAGATTATGTGCTGCAGATGTCTCAACAGTTAAGTTACATCCCTAGGCTGTGAGAATACTATGGTGGCTTGGTGGGTACAGAGCCTGCAGCTAGGGAGGAGGTGGGCATGAGCACAGCTGGATAATGATAATCAGATGGATTATGGCACAGGGGCAAGTTTTTTGGGGCAGCTGGGGAAGAAGTAAAGCCTGTGATGCCAAGTTATGAAGGCTCAGGAAGGGGATCTGAGATTCTCTACATGAAGAAATGTTTCTAAAGTTCTGAACATAATTATATGTAAATGCCAACCACTGGGGAGTTAAGTTTGGGTGAATCCTGACATAGGAATGTTCTGATTGACAGAGGAGGTCTTCTGGGATAAATTGTGACTGAGTCAGAATAAAGATAACTGAGACACAGAAAGAAGAGTCTAGCGTGTGTCAGTCATACAAATATGAAGTGAGAAGCTGGTAAAGACTCACATGGGAATTGTTAGAATATGAGGAGCACATCCACCCGATAGGCTCATCTGGTGGAATTTGACAGCCTGTAAAATCCAGATCATAGGGGATGGAGTTCTGGGCTTCTTTTATCCATTAGTATATTATGAAAGCACTATTGTTCTATAAATGTAGTTTCTTTTCCTAAAAGACTTAACATGGCCCAGTTCTAGCTAACTAGTTCAAGCCACCAGGAATGCTACTCACTCTTCCCCTACACACTGAGTACATATTAATTGTTGGGCTCTGGCCTCGCCTCTTGGAATATAAACACACCATAAGATAGTTGTCTGTCCTAGAAAGACAGGCAGACATATGGTTTATACTTAACACAGTTACTACAGAGGGGACTTAGGATGGGCTACTTTAGAAAAAGTTTCTAAAAATTGTTTAAATCATAGTCATACAAGCAAATAAAAGAAGCCCAGTACTGTCAAGGTTTTACCTGATCATACTATCTTCTCCGTAGTTTACCTTTTGGTAGTTTTAGATACTAACTCATCTCCTGATCCTATTTCTGATAAGACTTTTAGTTCTCTTACACATCCTGCTTTCTAAACTTCATTCTCCGTGGATTATCTTTTGTTTTCTCTCTTTTCTCCTAGCACTTCATATTCTGAGATTTTATTAATTGGAATGTAAATATTATATCAAATGGAGATAAGCAGTAATGTGTGACAACTTTCTCTTCTACCATGCAACTCCCCCCCCTTAAATGTTGAGCGAATTGCTCCTTGTATTATCTACCTTTATTTATTTATTATTTTAATTTGACTCTTAAGTCTTCTACTTCTTGGAAAGGCTTGAGATGCAAACCTAGTTTGGTTTTAAACAAAAAGTTTACCAGGCAAAGAAGACAGGTGAACATGCTCATCATTTCATCTCTGAGCCCTTTCCTTTATCCCTGCTTATCTAAACTGCTGTGGGCTATACTACCAGCTCCACTAGGGAATCGGATCCCATCTCCTTCAGAGTCCAAGGAAACCAGTGCTTATCCATGGCAGCCATGATGCTTTTATTCACTCTACCTGACTCCTGCTTAATTAGAAAATCTTCAGTAGATAATGGTAGATATGTGTCTATGCATTAATATGTGAAGATATGCAAATTTATGTCTTCACACACCAACCCCGACCCACCCCCACTCACCACACAGAAACTTTCATATTTTAAACCTTAAACAAATGTCTGTGAATTGCTATCTTTATTCCCTGGATCTACAACCAAGAAAGTAGATCCTGAAAAAATTGGGGAAACCTTTCGCAAACCCACCTTGGAGAGAAAATAGAAATAAATTCACATATATTCTGGTTTAGCTGCTTTTATAAAGGTTATAATTTTTGTGAGCTTCAACAAACAACTTGATATACATAAATTACATTTTCATAATTCTTGGTGGTATCATCCATTATTAAAAGTCCTTATGCTTTTTGACATTTTCTTGACCTTTAATTACTCTATTTCTATGTACAACTTTAATGCAGCAGGAAAGAACTATTTACCTCAAATGTTTGTAATTGTGGCAGTTTAATCTGTAGCAATGGAAAGAAATCTGACCATAAAAAGAACAACTGTCATTTTCAGGATGATTTTGAGATGCACATTACAAATCTCGGTGAATGTTCGATGTACACTTGAAAATGATGTATATTCTTCAGACATCAAATAAACTTTCAGCAAATGTCAAAGAGTCCAGGCTAATTGGCAGTGCTTCCCTAACACACAATCTTCCTGATTTTCTGTCAGTTTTAAAGGGAAAAGTCTTGCAGTTTTGCCGCACCATATTTGCCTTTCCCCATTTGCTTCTTTTAGTTTTTTATGCAATCTCAAGCTCCCTTATTTAAGTATGTACACATTTACAGTTGTCATATTATGTCAGTAATTTTTTTCTGTTATAAATACTTGAGAAACAAAAATTATTTTGGTTCATATTTTAAGACTTTTTGTAACTGCTGGGTCTATTGCAGAGCAGAACGACCATGGGGAAGGGCAAGGTAGAGGAGAGCTGTCTACCTCATGCCATTCAGAAAGCAGATGAGAGAAGAGGCCAGAAATAACCCTTCAATGACACACTCTCAGAGACCCACTTCAACCCACCCAACATACACTCCACGTTTCTACCACTTCCTAATGCATGAAATCAGTGATTAGGCTGGAGTCCTCAAGATCAAATAACTTATGGAAACATTTTCAAATAAATACTCAGGGGTGTACCTTACTCATCTTTCAGTTTTTCTACCACCATTTGTTGAAGAAGTCATTTTCTTGAGTGTTTTTAGCGTTTTTCTTGAAAATCAGATGTCTGTAGCTATGTGTTTGGTTTGGGCCCCTGATTCTATTCCGAGGACAGACATGTTTGTTTTTTTTCCTGTCAGTGCCATGCAGTTGCTGTTGCTATGGCTCAATAGTGCGACCTGAAGCCAGACATTTTTACGCCATCAGCACTGTTCTTTTTATTCATGCTTGCTTTGGATATTCTGAACCTTTTGTGCCTCCTTGTGAATTTTGTGGGTTTTATTTTCTGTGACGGTGTCACTGGAGTAGACAAGGAATCCACTGAATCAAGCAGACTGCCTTCAGTGATAAAGCATTTTCCCTGACTTGATTCTGTTGATCCAGGAGCATGGTATTTTTTTTTTCACCCACATTCTAGCATCTTCTTTGATTTCTTCACTGTTTTAGGATTTTTATTGTAGAGGAAGCATTCACTTTAGGTTAGGCTTATTCTTCAGTATATTTTGAAAATGATTGTGAATAGAATCTCTTGGTTTCTTTCTCGTCACACTTGCTACTGGTATATAGGAAACTACTGATTTTGATATGTCTTTTTATATTCTGTTACTTTGCTGAATGGGTTTATCAACCTTAGGTTTTCTGGTGGCCTCTTTAGTGTCAAATAAGATTATATTATATGCAAACAGATACTTTAACTTCTTTTTTGTATCACTCTTTCCTTTATCACTCTAATCTTTCAAGCACTATATGCAACAGGAGGTAAAGAAAGAGGATCATCTTGTTGCGTTTCTAATTTTAGGCAAATTTTGAAGTTTGTCTTCTACTTATAATAATGTTGGCTATAGGTTTGTCATATTTATCCTTTATTATATTGAGGTATGTTCCTCTTAGTCCAGCTTTCTTTAGGACTGTCATTCTGTAGCAATATTGCATTTTGTCAAAGGTTTTTCCTGCCTCTACTGATTTATCAATATATTATGCTGGCTAGTTTTATGTCAAGGTGACACAAGCTAGAGTCATTTTAGGAGAGGGAACCTCAAATGAGAAAATTTCATCAGGCTGGGCTGTGATCGGTGACTGATGTGAGAGGATCCAGTTCACCATGGGAGGCGCCACCCCATAGCAGGTGGTACTGGATGCTGTAAGAAAGCAAGCTGAGCAACCCATAGGGAGCAAGGCAGCAAGCAACACTCCTCCATGGCCTCTCCTTCAGTTCCTGCCTTGGGTTTCTCTCTGACCTCTCTGGATAATAGACTACAAGTTGTAAGATGAGATGAACCCTTTCTTCCCAAGCTGCTTCCCAAATAGCAGAAACTCTAAGACACATGTCTTATACCATTCTCTCCTCCCTGGAAGGAATCTAGTCTCAGTGAGTATCTTGTTCACAAGTAGTTGGAATTCAGTTCACATATGTTTTATTGAGAAGTTCTGCAATTGAGT